AGGGTGGGGCGTGGCAGCGCCGGCGGCAGGCTCATGATGCCCCCTCCACCGGCAGGCATCAACCACGGTCCGGTGACGGCTGGCGTCATCGGGGCCCGCAAGCCGCACTACGACATCTGGGGCAACACGGTCAACGTGGCGTCGCGGATGGAGAGCACCGGCCAAGCCGGCCAGATCCAGGTACGACCGCTCCCGGGCGGCGGGCGGTCCGAGGAGATCCAGGTACGACCGCTCCCGGGCGGCTGGCAGCCCGAGGGGATCCAGGTACGACCGCTCCCGGGCGGCGGGCGGTCCGAGGAGATCCAGGTACGACCGCTCCCGGGTGGCTGGCGGTCCGAGGAGATCCAGGTACGACCACTCCCGGGCGGCGGGCGGTCCGAGGAGATCCAGGTACGACCGCTCCCGGGTGGCTGGCGGTCCGAGGAGATCCAGGTACGACCACTCCCGGGCGGCGGGCAGTCCGAGGAGATCCAGGTACGACCGCTCCCGGGCGGCTGGCGGTCCGAGGAGATCCAGGTACGACCGCTCCCGGGCGGCTGGCGGTCCGGGGAGGTCCAGGTACGACCGCTCCCGGGCAGCTGGCAGTTCGAGGAGATCCAGGTACTACCGCTCCCGGGCGGCTGGAGGTCCGCGGAGTTCCAGGTACGACCGCTCCCCGTGGGCTGGCGGTCCGTGGCGACAATCCGCACCCTGTTTGTGGTGGCGGTCTGCTCTCTGCCCCGAGAGAGGCGCAGGGTGCATGTGTGGCCGCTCCGTCCGGGCGCGACTTGGACCGCGCCTGGTTACAGCCGCTGTGGGTATGCTTGGGTGCTCAGGTGCGACAGTGAGCAAACCCTTTCTGATGATGGTGCAGAAGTGACTCTTCTGCGGAAGAGACATACGACCATCCTTGTGGGACAAACCTTTAGCGGGTCCAGTGAAATACAAATGGGGTACCTGATGTGAGCCTGCTTGTTCCGACCGTAACCACGGAACAAGCAGGTTCGCATATACCCTGATATCCGCTGGTAAGCGCCGCCATGGCCCTTTCCGCACGGCCACGAAAGTCCTGTCCTCACTGTAGAACTAAAGTCCATGCTATGTGCCATCTTCACGCCGTCTGTGGTAATTGAAATCCTTCGTTTTCTGACACTATGGCATCGCGTGAAACTCCGACTCTAGTACCACGACTGCTGCCCCGACGGCTCTAATGAACGGGTCAACGGATCACGAGTGCCCTTTCTGCTGCTGTTGGGTGTAAAGCTCCATGGGCCAGCTAGATGTGATTTCGTACTCGACTATCTTATATCCGCGTGGTGCAAGCATCCTGAGAGCTTCGCTGTTGCTAGGCGACCCTATACACATAGCCTGTCGATGGTATCGAGAAAGGGTTCGCAGGCGAGGCCTACTTCTGTAGTGGCGAGGTAGCCGCTCAGAAGTCTAGTCTATCAAACAGTTGATGGAAGTTTGCACGGCTGCAAAAGCTGAAATTAAATGAATGCCGGCCTCTGAGAGAAAGTATTTCAATATTTCGTAGGAACTTATGTGTACATTTTGTGCGGCACTCAGCGTGACCTTTTGCCGTGAAGGTCACCGCGGGCAAGTTGAGCACCAGCTTGCCGCGGCGGCAGCGGCGCATGATTGGTTTTGCTGGTCGTGACGTCATTGTTTCCAGGCCGGCTCCTGCAAAGTGTTGGCGGCGGCCTGCCACAACGGCCTAACTGATCTAATAATCAAATGAGGGATGACATGGTGTGGGCAGGAGAAGCGACCTAATTGGCTGGGACGTGACGCACTTAGGCAATGAATAATGATAGTGCAGGATGGTGGCCCAGTGCCGAACATCAAGAGAATAAGTGTATGCCTTTTTACTGCATGATTAACACAGCCACACACTGCCGTCGTCATATGTATTGTTACATATAGAGCAGAAATACAACCTGTAGGGAATTTGACCCCGCTGGTTTCTTTGACATTGCGTTCCAGTCCGAGCTTTTCCATAGCCCTTGGCGACGTGTGCAAAATAAGTTCATGCTCTTCAAGAACTTCTGTAGGTATTGTGTGGTATATAATTCTCTTACTTATTCAGATACTCATAATTATGCAAGTTCTTTCACGAGTAGTGGCAAAGGGCTTTAATAAATGCCGGTCACAACTCATAACGAACGCCATCAACAATGGGTACAGCGGATGGGTAGCATTACGCACATACGATTATCGATGCGTGAATGATGTCTGACAGCGGCCGCTGCAACGTTGCGTAACGAAGGCACTCTGTGGGAAGGGGAGTTTCCACACTGACAGTTTCCCACCCCGCAGTGCACGGGCGAGACTAAGGAGATCCTCGAGCTGTATGGCTACACGTTCGAGCAGCGCGGCATCATCTTGATCAAGGGCAAAGGTCAGCTGCTGACCTACTTCCTGACCGGTCGCGGATCGCCCGCGGCGCCCACGACCGCTTGCCCCGGCGCTGCCGAGGGCGTCGTGTTAACGGACCTAGCGACCTCCGAGACAGATCCGACGCAGCCCGCGCCGCCGCGCCAGACCCCCTGAGCAGCTGCCGTCGCCATGGTGACGTCACACCGTCCGAGTGACGTCACTGCGGTGGTTTTAGGGGCGGCGGGCCGCGGTTGGGCGTATCATGTCATCGATTCGGTACAGCCTCGATGTGATGTGGATGTGATGTCGAATGGTGTCCATTCATTCTGTTGTGTGATATCGGTCCGAGGCGTATTGACGTCATCGATTGTTGTCATTTCCTAGCGCGTTGATCTCCGCTCTTGTCGGTTCTCTGCCTGTCTTCGCACTGTCAGAATGCAACTGCTGTTTGTGTCAGGTGCGGTGCGAGGACGAATATACCTTA